TTTTAATCATTTTTACACTACTGAAAAATACTTTGAGGATTACAGAGCCTTTAAGTGTATGTCCTTATTGTGCTAAAAAAGTAAACTCCAAAACAAATAAACAAAATTGGATTCAGTGGTCCTCATCAGAACATTTGGATATTCATATCATTAATGTGAAATTAATGTACGTATTTACCCAGTTAAGTTACCCAGGAAGCCAGAAAAGAGCAGAAACAGGAGACGAAGTGATAATAAAAGAGCAGGGTTTATTGAATATTCTTAGTGGCATGTGTTTCGGTGCGCTCTCATACTTCATCCGAACAGCACAAATATAACAAGTGTTATTATACATCCGACCCCAAGACCTTGAAATATAGATATACCCTCATATCAGTGGAGAGGAACATGTCAGGAAACACCATCATAAAAGACTAAACAATAAAAAAAGCACCAAAAGCAGAACAAGTAATGAGAAATATATAAAATAATGAAATCAAATCACTAAATGAATAATAAAATAAATGATAAACATTAATGAATTAATTAAAAATATGCATCAACTGATTAATCAGGGAATCTTCTGTCCAGTCCATATCCGTTTTTAAACGAAAAAAAGAAAATGGCCACTTTTCTTTGTTCTTTTGCTCACAAAAACAAAAATACATTTTGATTTGGGCTGGGTTTTTGTTTTTGGTTAGTTTTTAAAAAGTTTTACTTTTTGTCAGAAACTCCCTGAAAGTAAAAACCAGCTTCTCTTCTGTACGCCTTCAGACATTTCTTTCTTGTAAAGCTCTTGGCGCACAATACAACGCTGCCAGGCTTTTATCCAGTGTGATCTTTCTGGTGTTTATTCAGGTATGATGCGATCGGGAGTGTGGTGTGTCTGTTTCAGTATTAAACTGCGGAGATTCAGAAGAGTCACATGAGTGAATCATGTTCAGCAGTATTTGATTCAGTTGACTCGCATCTCTACTCGCTATAAACTGACTTAGTGCTGATAATAAACAGATTAACAACATAAATGAGACGCTGGTTTATTGTTTCTTATGTGTGAAGTAAAAATATTGTTCATACATGTCGAGGCTATAAATGAGGCAATGTAATATCACACCGAGTAAGAATTAATTCGCACGACTGATATTTTGAAGTCTATGTAACAATCCGATCATTATCATTCATTTTAATACTTTTAACAGGAATTATTTAAAGTACAAACCTTTCTCCAGGCGAAACTATCGATGAGGAGCGCAGCGCCGGCTTATGACGTCACATGCAGGTCAAATAAAAGTCCCATTCACATATTAAAACCGCACATTTATCTATGAAACAAGTACTTAAACAATAAAAATCGTTGAGGTTTTGAGTTAACATGTTCTTTAAAAAATGTTTGTATTAAAATGAATGCATGTGTGCTTTCTTTATTTCTATGCAGTGTACAATAACTACAAAATTTCAGTCTCTCTTCAAACAGAAACAGATCATTGTGTGTCTGCTCAAATTTGATTTTGTTACATTTCTTCTTTATGCTTCATTTTTACATTAGGTGACTGTACTACAGTGTTCAGGTTAATTTAAATGGAATGATGAAGCAATGTTAGTTTAATATCTGACATTTCTATTATATATAAATATTTTTTATCAATAAGTCATCCCAATTATTATATATTTGCACTGAATCAAAGCTTTTCCCAGACACAAGCTCACAACACATTAACATACAATGTCCAATCCTTTAATCTGCTGTGAATTGTGCAGTAGTGTAGACACAGACAGCTTCTTGAAACAAGCTTCTGGCCAGGGGCAGATTTAGTGACCCTAAGCAATTCCGGCCTCTGTGCCCGAAAGGTCTAAAATGTACCTTTGGTACTTTAATTTACTATTAATTGATTTATTTTGCTGGTTTTATTCTTATATCACTTAATATCCTTTTCTGCTTTTGGTCTTAATGCAAAAATAAATAATAATAGCATTATTAGCTGTGGACTAACAACTAAAAATGATAAACTTTTACATTTTTAAAGCTAAATCTTTACCTAATTTGACTGCTGGACTGCTCTATGATTGACGGTGGGGGATACACTTGCGCATGTGCAATGTAATAAACATTGAAATCATTTTTTTTAGAACCTGATCATACAAAATATGATATAAAATGTTGTTATATATAATTTAAAGGTATAATTTATGCCTTCAGGTATAACAAACAGTAAAAAATTGAAAATAAAAGGTTAAGCCTATTAAACTCAATATACTGACCACATCTGTGTTATTGTATGCGTTAAAAGTGTGTTCGTTTTTTACTTTAATTATTCTGTGATTCCTACACGTACCGCTAGAAGGAAGCCTGCGTACCCCTAGTGGTACATGTACCACGATTTGAGAACCACTGGCCTAGAGAAACAGGGCATCAGTATATTGTAAAGTTAAACCGACAGGTTCAAATATTCCTTTCCAGTTATCAAAGAAATTATTTGTTCCTTAATTTAATTGCGTACTCACACTATGTACAGTTGTCTTGAGCCTGGCTGAAGCACGCTTGTCCCCCCTCCTGTCTACCTCGACTATGCCTGAGCCCAACTCAGAGCACTCACACTTCTCAAACGATGCAGGAAACTTGCCTGGCCACGTTGCGGATAACATAGTGTGAGTGTGCCCTTAGTTTTGTAATTAATTCATTGTTGTAAATTCCAACATTGTACTATAAATATCAGTGGACAAATGGTGGAAAAACATTCTGTAATTGTGTAGTTAAACCACACGGCTCTCCACTTTTGTCATGGCCAATTTTACAAACGTATCCCTCAGGATTTCCAAACATTTTAACAAAAACTTTCCTCCTTTCCCACGGCTGTTGCAATTTACAGCCAAGAATTATTGATCATCAGGTTATCTCTTTGATCAGGGAACATACAGATGTCTGTACAGTCGTACCTGTTTCAGACAAAATCTATTCAGAGTGTTTCATTTTCAACTCAAATCAAATGCGGCGCGAACTGTTTGCTCGAGTCTTAACCAGTTAAGCTCTGGGGGTATTTGGGGTAATTCTGCCAGAATTTGGCCTTCCAATTTAAAAAGCTTCCCATACACACATGCAGAGGTGTAAATACAAAAGTTTAGTATCATTTGAAAGGAAACCCTTTGAAATTTTATAAAATACAGTTGAAATTGAAAACAATTGTTGTATATATTGTCTGTGTTATAATAAACACGCAAAAAAGGCGCTTTTTTTTTTTTTTTTAATAAACTGAAGTTTGGAAATGTGTATCTCAGGCCTTGTGTGTTCCAGCACCTTGGAAACAACTTTATTTCTTTCCAGCAGGTGTCAGCAAACACAGGAAAAATTATTTTTTTCTTTATAATACATTATGTAAGAATAATTCTATTCCAACTGCAAGAAGGAAAAATGCTTTTTTTTATTTCCGCCTACCTATTTTTGAAGTCTCCCCATACCCTCATACAGTAAAATAAATGCAATATCTCAATGTCATTTTACAGAAAACCCTTTGAAATTACAAAAAGAACTGCTGAAAGTGATAAATATTATTATATATGTTGTCTGTCCTATGATGAACCACCTCAACACAATCCGCTTTTATTTATTTTTTTGTTGTAAAGCCTGATTTAGAAAGTGTATAACTCAGGCTCTGTATGCTCCATCAAACTGCAGATTGTTTTGATTGTTACCAGCATTTGTCAGGAGACACTAGAAAAAAGAATTTTGTTTTTATCATGTAGTATGCAATAATTATGTTAGTTCAACCGAAGGGTGGGAAATCACAACTTTTTTGCGTCTGCTGTGTGACTTTTATGCGACACCCCTCTTTCTGTTCGTCATGCAATATCTCAGTCACTGATTGGCTGATCAAGGCTCGAGATACATCAGCGTAAAGCCGAGAATCTCACCTTTCCAGTGATATGTAACTCATCTGGATAGGTTGAAGCTATCATATTTTCCAGAATTTTGGAATATCATGACCCTAATTTGTTGCGTTTGGCACTTACAAGACACAGCAGGGGTTTACTGATAAACACATCCCCAGAAAACGCTGAAAATGGACTCATTTTGCAGAGGAAAACCTAAGGTAAAAGATGATGTAGCTTGTTTGGCTATCTGTGCTATCTCTGGCAGCTCACGGAGGAAATAATCAATAAATTCCCTTGAATGTTTACAAAAAACAAGTTTATACTTTATGATTCATTCGAAGACTGTTGGATATGAGATTGTAAATCAATAAAAATAATGATGGATCCTTATTATTGGGAATGAGAGCTTTAATTTGATGTATTACTTGCCAATGTGTGTCTAATATTAGCGGTGTGAAAAATATGCATACTGAACAATGTACATAATCGGGGGGTTGATATATTATACATCGAGTGTAAATTAAGTGTAAATAACTTCGTTACAGTACAACAAATATCAAAGGGATGTGCATCAGTTGAAAATAGACATTCTAAGCTTTCACCCAGTAGGTCATATGGTGTTATTGATGCAGACAGACCTCTTAAATCTATAGTTATTCTCCTGATGATGTCATTTTGTCCCCGGTACCGGGCACGCAGAGTTTAAGTGGTTAAATGAAGTTTTACTTGTTAGTCGGAAAGTCTTTCAAATACATATAGAGCTTCTCTCTGTGTGACTTGAGACATTTCATGCGTGTAAAGCATTTGCCATGCGATCCACAGGTGTGAGTCTTTATTCAGTATGAAGGAGCATGTGGGAGTCAAGGGATTGTTTATATCTGAAACTCTGTGCACAGTGTTGGCAGATGTAAGGCTTTTCTCCGGTGTGAACGATCTCATGTCTTTTAAGGCTGGCTTTAGCGGTGAAACTCTTTCCACACTCTTGGCACGCGTGAGGCTTTTCTCCAGTGTGAATAGCCATGTGTCCTGTAAGGTTTTGTTTCAGAGAGAAACTCCTTCCACACTGTTGGCAGGAGTACGGCTTGTCCCCAGTGTGAACACCCATGTGTTTTGTGAGGCACTGTTTGCGAGAGAAACTCTTTCCACACTGTTGGCAGGTGTGAGGCTTCTCTCCACTGTGAATCCTCATATGGATTGTGTGGTTTTGTTTCCAGGTGAAGCTCTTTCCACACTGTTGGCAGGTGTAAGGCTTTTCTCCAGTGTGAAGCGTCATGTGTTCTATAAAGTACTGCTTCCGATTGAAAGTCTTTCCACACTGATGGCAGGTGTTAAATATGCTATTCCAGGCTGTTTTGTGTGAGGTTTTTGTCTGTTCTGATTTGTCTCCAGGACTGAATTCACGGCATTCTCCCACTTTGAGTGGCATCGCGTCTTCTGTGGAGATGAAAAGAAAAAACACAACGCCAGCAGTGTTACAATTCCAACATACCACATCACAAAATATTAAAAATGACTATGTTTTTTGAAGTGTGTGTGGGAAAAAGATTTAGGCCGTACTCACACTAGGTACAGTTGCCTCGAACCGGGCCAAAGCACACTCGTCCCCCCTTCCGTCTCCCACGACGGCCCGCGCTCACACCACAAACGGGCTTCGGCACGCTTACTGCTGCGCTGTTCAGTGAGAAGCGCTCTCTCACTCAGCAGCACCGTGGAGATTTCTCTAGTTATATCGTTTCAGTCGTTTGATATGCCGTCAAATATTTCGCCAAGCAGTCCTTAGGGATGCGGTGACACGCAGTCAGATATTTCGCCGAACAGATCCGCCACTTTTGCTGCTTATAAACAATCATAAAGCTCTCGTGCTGCAGGAATGAGGAGGTCTGCTGAAGGTGCAGCTGTGGTGCAGTGAGGGGTTTGCGTCTTTAATAAACTACGGCAGTTTGCGTTCACTGAACAGTAAGAATGATTAATAAATCCATATGAAACAGTCCCTTAAAGTCACGTCTCGCTTTCAGTTTTGGGCTTTGGCGTGTTTTGCACTCACACACAAGCGTACCAAAGCCCAAGTGAACCGCGCTCAGGCACACCTCTTCCAACCGGGCCAGGGCCGGCCTAGGGAACCGTGCTTGAGCCCGATTCAGCGCACTCGCTTCTCAAACGATCCGGGAAACGACCTGGGCACGGTACGGATGGCATAGTGTGAGTACGCCCTTAGGTCACGAAATTGAAGATACAGATTGGTCTGAAATATGTAACAACTTGTATTCTAAATGTACTTCATTGGGTGTTCATGAGCTCAATTATAGATTCATTAACAGAGTTTATCTTACACCCTTGCGTCTGTAAAAGATTTATAGAAACTCCTCTGATCTTTGTTTTAACTGCAAAAAAAAGGTAAAGACATTCCTTCACTGTTTCTGGTATTGTGACAAAAGCCCCTTTCACACATACAGACCTTTCCGGAAAATTACCGGCAATTTTCCGGAAAGGTCTGTATGTGTGAACAGGCCCTTTTTGAAAATACCGGTAAATTCGTTCTGGCTTTTTTCCGGAAAGAGAAGTTGTAACATTACCGGTAATTTGCCGGAATGCTGCGCTGTGTGAATGCAGAAGGAAGATTGCCGTAATAAGCGCGTCCACGTCTAGAACGGGCTGACGTGAGACGTCTGCTTTAGCCAATCACAACAGTCAGACGCATTCACGTGGGCGCGGTTTATGAGAATAAAAGCCTTTGAATATTTTTCCAGACACATTTAGCTGCTAGATGTTAGTCAGATAATGTTTCTATGTTCCTTCTTAATGCTAACTGTGTAAATAATTATCGATAAAATGTTTATGATAATCCGTTGTTTGTTTACCTTCAAGCTTTGCGTGTGCCCATGAGCGCCCATAGCGCCAGCACACACACATATCATGAACATCTCGACATGCGAAAGTGTTTTTCTATGTTTTCATTAGAGTTGTACTCAATACTGATCCATCCGAAGAGTTTGTAATGTAGTCAAATGTTTACAAACACAAGCGCAGCTGTTTAGAGCTCATTTCTGGTTAATGATGTCAGAATTTACCGGCATTTTGGAATGGATGTGTGAATGCTCTTTTCTGGAAAAATTCCGTAACGTCCTCGCCTGTGTGAACAGCACTTTTTTGAATTTACTGGTAAAGTAGTTCCGGAAATTTTCCAGATATTTACCGGTATCACTGTGTGAAAGGGGCTAAAGTCATCTCGTTTTGGAAGAAAATACATAATTTTATACGCGGACTCTTTCAGATAAAATTCAGTTTTTCTCTAAAATTGCATTTGTTGTATGATGGAGTAGAGAATGTGTTGGGCCCTCACGCCGAAAATCTGTTTTTAATTTTGGTTTATCTGGCAAAGAAATGTAAACTTTTATTGTGGTCATCTCCTCAGGTGCCTTCCTTAAAAATGTGGTTGTCTCAAGTATGTGCTTGATTTCCACTTGAGAAACTCACTTATGATATATATCAAAAGTCAGATGACTTCCGGCAGCTATGAACACCTTTTTGGCAACGCATCAATAATCTCTCCTGATTTTCTATTCTATGGTATACATTTTTGGTCCTTGCCTGACTGTATTAGCATGTTTACTTGTTTGTATATTTCCCCCTTTTATTATTTTTTACTTCCCCACTGTATGACTAAGTTTGTATTTATATGTGCTGATGTATCAAAATAACTGACGACTAATAAAAACAGACTATGTTTACATGGACATCATTAATAGGATTATTTTGTGTTTAAATGAGCTGCTTTTTGAATATTCCTTTTATGATCCCGTTTATAGAAAAACCAACCTGTTTGCTCCTCAGGATCTTCATGTTTGACTCTGAAAGCTTCTTCAGTCTCTTCATGTTTGACTGTGAATGTTTCTTCAATCTTTATGTCTACACTCTCCTCTTTAATAAACGCCATCTTTATAACAGTCTGAGCTCAGTCGCTTCAGCAGATCTTCTGTGTTTGTCCTGTTGAAGATCAGAATAATGAACAGAAAGACACAAATCCAGTCTCCATCAGCTCTCTAGTTCAGTAGTCAGTGCACTAGTGAGGGAGCTAGATGGAGACAATATCAACCAATTAATCACAACTAGCATTAGCATTAAATAGTCATTAAATCAAATAATACACATGAATCATTTAGTTATATATGATAATATAATGCAGGGTCAATTGGAAGAAAGAAATAATAACGTTTATTTGGTATATTTGCAAGTGTAAAACGACCAATTACAGGCGCTAACTGGAAAAGTGATTTATAAAAGTCTCATGGTAAACAAATAAAGCGCGTGCCCGCGATCGGGAGTGCGGTGTGTCCAGGAGTCGGGTTTCAGTATTAAACTGTGGCGATTCAGATCGTGTTCAGCATCATTAGACTCAGCTGACGTGCTTCATCACTTGCTAAACTGAATACTGTTGATAATAAACTGATTCACAACATATAATGAGACGCAGCTTTTCCGTTTCTCTTTTGTTTTACACTTAAACGAATGTTAACACACGTTGGATACGACATAACATCACACTTAATAATGAATTGATTAGTATTACTTATATTTTAATGCATATACACATTTCTAAACAACATATATTTATCTTAACAACTAAAATGATTAAAAGTGCAAACCTTTCATCACAAGGAAAGCAGCAGCGCGGCACAGCCTCATGACGTCACACGTGCAGATCAAAATAAAAGTCCCGTTAACATGTTGACATTGCAGATATTTATTTTAAAATTATGTACATTTCACATACATAAATCCAAGTTTGCCAAAAGCAAACCCCTCTTTATGGTGCTACAAAAAGAGATTCAAGTGTATATAAAAGTGATTTTTAAGTCTAAAAGTAGAAAAGCTATTAAAACAGTTAATATATGCTCCTCCTCTACCATTTTTACATATAAATGTCTGTATATGTGCATTTCCTGTAGTAAAAGTGCATTTAATAACTCTTGTTAATAACTAAAATTGGAAAAAATGTGTGTAATATATTTGTATGTAGTTTGATAGTAAAGTACCCTCGCCTGTTTTTTATTTATTTTTTATTATTTTTTTTTCTATTTATTCCATTCTTGTTAAGAAATGTGAAGTGATTTTGTTGTAGAAGAAAACTGTACATGCTGGTTCTTGTTAATAAAAAAGAAAAACATATTTATTCAAAAGCAAGAGCTTAAATAATATAAACAATAATCCATTATTATAATAACATATACTTTAATATGTCTTTATAATGATTATTGTATTTAAAATGCTAATAAGAGCAATTGGTCCTGACTCCTGGTACAGAGGACACAGATAAATGAGTGTTTTCTTTACGGTTCTTGTTTATGGTTAATTTTTACAGTATGTGACTCCACTACAGTGTTAAGGTTAATTTTAATGAAATGAAAAAAATGTTAAGCGTCAATGTATTTCAGGCATTTTTTATGTAGGAAAAAAGTATATATACATATTATCAAAAAAAAAAAAAACATAGGACTGACCCCAATATTTTTTATTATTGTTATTATTATTATAAATGAAACAATAATAACTCATATTATAAAATGGAATAATAATCATCACCATTATCAAAACACAAAACATGGGACTGACCCCAATATTTATTATTATTATTAAATGAAATAATAATAATAATAATAAAATTACAAACCTTAGTTGGCTAACGTTGGTTTCCGAAAATGCACCCCTGGTCTATTACACGTCCAGCAATAAGAATATAAAACTATAGCAACAGCCGAGACAGTAAATTAGTAAACACATAACCACACAAACACTAATCTTAAAAATAACACAGGTTTATTAAGCTACTCTAACACAGCGACCTATGTAAAACATACACACTTATACATAGTTTTAGAGTAAATGAGTATGACAATCTCCATGTGTGACATTTCATGCATGTAACGCTCTTACCACACAGTCCACAGGCGTGAAGCTTTATCTACTATGAATCTTCACATGGGAATCAAAATAATGTTTATATCTGAAACTCTGTCCACACTGTTGGCAGGTGTAAGGTTTGTCTCTCCAGTGTGAACTCTCTTGTGTCTTTTAAGGTATGCTTTAGTAGCGAAACTCTTCCCACACTGTTGGCAAGTGTAAGGCTTTTCTCCAGTGTGAGTCCTCATATGTTCTGTAAGGATCTGTTTCCGAGTGAAACTCTTTCCACACTGATGGCAGGTGTGAGCCTTTCCTTCAGTGTGAATCTTCATATGGTCGACAAGGTTTTGTTTCCGAGTGAAACTTTTTCCACACTGATTGCAGGCGTGAGCCTTGCCTCCGGTGTGAATGCTCATATGTCCTGTAAGGTTTTGTTTCCAAGTGAAATTCTGTCCACAGTGTTGGCAAGTGTAAGGCTTTTCTCCGGTGTGAACCCTCATGTGTCCTGTAAGGTTTTGTTGCCGAGTAAAACACTTTCCACAGCACTCACACGTGTAAGGCTTTTCTCCGGTGTGAACACCCATGTGTTTTGAAAGGTTTTGATTTCGAGCGAAACTCTTCCCACACTGGTGGCAAGTGTAAGGCTTCTCGTCAGTGTGAGTCCTCATATGGATTTTCAGGTTTTGTTTCCAAGTGAAATTCTTTCCACACTGTTGGCAAGTGTAAGGCTTTTCTCCATTGTGAATTGTCATGTGTTCTATTAGGTACTGTTTACGGGTGAAACTCCTTCCACACTGATGGCAGGTATTAGATTTGGCCTTGCGGGCTGTTTCTTCTGAAGAGGTATTTGTCTGTTCTGAATCTTCTTCAGGTGTGAAGTCACAATATTCCTCAAACTGATCATTCTCTTCCATTTCATTCTGATCTTGACCCTCCTCTTTAGGTGGTATCAGGTCTTCTGTAGAGAATAAAAGACAAATAAATATAGAATCAGGTAATTTCATCATCAGGTAAATGAGTTAAATAATGATGGGATTTGAGTTAGGTGATGTCAACAGGTGATTGTAAGTATGATATGGTATAAAAGCAGCATCCAAGAAAGGTCTAGTCCTTTAAGGAGTGAAGATAGCCCGAAGATCGCCAGTTTGCCAACAAATATGTGAGAAAATTATTAATTTCTTCATTCATTTTCATCCCTTTTGGGATGTGGGGGCAGCAGTTTCAGAAGAGAACCCCATACTTCCCTCTCTCCAGACACTTCATTCAGCTCCTCCAGAGCCAGAGGCATTCCCAGGCCAGTCAAGAGACATAGTCCCTACAACGTGTCCTGGGTCTTGCCAGAGGCCTCCTCCTGGTGAGACATGCCTGAAACACCTTCCTAGGTAAGTGTCCAAGGAGGCATCCAAAACAGATGCCCGAGCCACATCAGCTGGCCTCTCTTGATGTGGAGGAGCAGGGCTCTACTCCAGGGTGACCAAGCTCCTCACCCATCTATAAGGGTGCGCCCTGCCACCCTGCGAAGGAAACTCATTTCGCTTGTATCTGAGATCTTGTCCTTTCAGTCATGATCCAAATATCATGACCATAGGTGAGAGTAGTAAAGTAAATTGACCAGTAAATCACCTCCTTCTTTACCAAAACGGACCAGTACATCGACCACAATACTGTTGCCGCTGCATCGATCCACCGGTCAATCTCCCGTTCCATCCTTCCCTTTGTTTCCACTTGTAAATAAAACCCAAAAAACTTTCCTCCAACCTGGAGACGGCAAGCCACCTTTTCCGGAGAATCCTCACGGCCTTTGACTTGGAGGTGCTGATTCTCATCCGAGCCGCATCACACTTGACAGCAAACCACCCAGTGCATGTTAAATGTCCAATGAAGCCAACAGAACAACATCATCTTGCAAATAACATAGATGTAATCCTGTGGTCCCTGAACCAGACCGCAAAGCTGCACAGAATCGGTAACAAAGTACCACCCTGCCGGAGTCCAACATGCACTGAAAACAAGTCTGACTTATTCCTGGCAAGGTGAGCCAAGCTCCTGGTCTGTTCATACAGGGACGAGACAGCCCTTAATGAACAGCCTCTTACACCCCATATTCCCAGAGCACCCCCCCCCCCCCCCCAACAGAATGACAGAAATAGACTTTTCCGGGGAGGCTGAGAGTGTAATCCCCCAATTAGTTGGAACACACCCAACGGTCGCCCTGCCTATGTGTTTTTTTATTTTTTTAAACGTTTATAAAAATTAGGAACACATTAACAGTCATAGTAAATTTATGAAAAACTACTTTTTTATTTGCGTTTTCCATACTGTCCCAACTTTTTTTCTGACACACACAAAGGAGTAGGACAATAAAACTGAAATGCCTGGTTTTAGACCCCAATATTTCATTAGTAAGGTGTAAGGCAGGGGTGCTCAACCCCGTTCCTGGAGATCCTCCTTCCTGCAAATTTCAGTTGCAACCCATATCAAACGCACCTGCCTGTAATTATCAAGTGCTGTTCAGGTCCTAATTAATTAGTTCAGGTGTGTTTGATCAGGGTTGGAGTTGAACTCTGCAGGAAGGTAGTTCTCCAGGAACAGGTAGTGGTGGGCAAAGCGAGGCTTCAGGAAACACTAAAACAATCGAAGCTTCGAAACGTTTCGAAACCCCACTCTGCGGTGACACCTAGTGGTAATGTTTTATGTATTGCACTGATACAGCTTCAGCAAGAACAATTTAGCAAATTGAGGTATTAAACCCCTCTTTGTAGAAAATTATATTCAAGAGATTTAGTGGAGCAGTTAAGGTTTCTGAATTCCATGCGGGGATAGTGGGTTCGAATCCAGGCTGATACAGCTATTTTGAAATGCTTTAATGCCAGTTGGTAATGCTTTGCTCTTGTATCATTTTGTTTCAACATTGGTCTGACATCCGAATAAACACTTTGTGAATAAATATGTCTTGTTTTGGTATTAAAACAGGGTTGTTGCTAGATCAGACACAGTTGTGGCCAGAATGTATCAAGAAATATTTATATTATTCATTAAATTTCACATTTATTGTATTTCATTAACGTCTACCCAAAGCCTAAACCCAACCATCACAGTACTGTAAAAATATTAATTATTGTTTTAGTGTTACAAAAATGATGCTATATTGATGGCATATCCGCAGCTGTAATCTATTTAGGCTACACCATAAAACAGAAACATGATTAAAATACATAAAACTATGTATTAGGAGTATTTGTACAAGTCGGGATTCGAACCCAAAAATTCAGTGGAAGCATAGTAACAGCATGCACACGCACAGTCCACTAGGTCATAAGAGACGAATATTTAATCTGACCCCGGTAGTTACATCCAGATTCGCCAGGTCTCGAAACGCTTCTTAAGTGATCGATGCTTTGAATCACTTTAGTCACGTGACTTGGGTGTTTCGGATCATGCTTCAGTGCAGTGTTTCAAAACACTTGCGCTTCGGGATTTCGAAACGTCAGTTTCACGTCAGCCATCCCTAGGAACAGGGTTGGTCACCCCTGGTGTAAGACTGGGGTGACAAAACTCACTCCTGGAAGGCCGGTGTCCTGCTGTATGTTTGCAAATTTAATATTCGCAGTGATGGAGAACACAGTTTTTCTTAATCATCTTTGCAATTAAGCATTTTATGCCCACTAGCGACTTCAATCGCCACCTGAGCGACAGGCAGCTACAAAACCGCTACTAGTGGGAACGAGGCATAACTTCTCTCCTGTCTGAGATGAAGAGTGAATGTGGCTTCAGTTGTGGGATTCATACCAGCTGTTATGTAATCATTGCCAATTAGCCCTCAGTTGTACGTGTGGAACAAACCAAACAGACTCGCTGGACCAATGCTGACCAGTGGCTTGTTGTGTCCTGACACTTACTCTTATCAGTCAATCTAATTTAAAAGTAGAAAAGTAGAACAGTGTAGAGCTGCAGATCTGAATGAGGATCAAATGTTGAGCTTTGAGGATGAAAACCAACCTGTTTGTTCCTCAGGATCTTCATATTTGATTATGAATTCTTCAATCTCTTCATGTTTGACAGGGAATGTTTCTTCAATCTTGATGTCTTCACTCTCCTCTTTAATAAACTCCATGTTTACAACAGTCTGAGCTCAGTCGCTTCAGCAGTTTTACCCTGTATAAGAACAAAGTTAACAGTGTTTTGCATCCACCATGGCAAATTATACAAACACAACAATTATTGTGTATTTAAATGCTTTTAAACTTTCCATTTTAAGAAGGAACTTATGAAGAGCTGGTGCAGCCCTACTCAGGAGATAACTAATGTCATAACACTCGACCTCGCTAAAGACACGGTGCCTTTAATAAAACTCATCTCAACGCAGGATAAGCGATATACACTTCCGTCTCGCACGTATTTTAGCCACTGTGGAGTACAGCTGTACGTTTAACATCATGATATTTTGTGTAGCATCTGTGATGATTACGTTTTAGACAGTATAAGCTACAGAAAGGCTCTTATCAGCCTTATTAATCTGCTGAGTGTTCTGGATTTAATATTTTTTGTTGTATAATAAGCTACACTATCTCAATTATTTGAGTTCAACTTGTTTACAGAGAGGTAAGGTCATTTTATTAATAAGAAATGTATTAATTAATAATAAATTTATAATAAATTAATAATTTTATTTATAAGAAGCTACGATAAATATTGAGCTGAAGCTTGCATACAAAATTAAACCGCAAATCAAATTGAAATCACAATAGGTCAAAAAATAATAATAAATTGCAATTAGATATTTTTTTCCCAAATCACACAGCCCTGGTGATGATAATAGTAAATGTTTTGTGGTGAAGACTATTTCTCCTTATGTAATAAACAAATCGTGATGTAAATATCAATTGAAATAAGAACAAAATGCAGCAATGTAAGAAAAATATTGAAAGTTAATTCAGTACCCATTTATGTGTAAAATGCAAGATTTTTGTGCTGACAGTGGGAAAATGGAATTGATAAAGACTCATGACAAACAAATGAACACATTTAGATGTGCACAAATAATGTGATTATGTCCAATAATCAAAGCAAGGACTTAATCGCAATATAACGTTTACATGTCAGGAGCAAACCTCTTAATCCTGTTTACATGCAGTCACTATTATTCATATTATTCTCTTGGAATGGTGGTTTGATCATATTATTGTATATAAATATAAACAAGATCCCATATAGATACCATAAATGCAATATAAACACTATTAAAATCTCAGTAGGGTGGTCCATAAAAAAGTACTCGTGATTTATTCATGATTTATCCAGAAGCTGGATTTCAGTATTAAGCTGTGGTGATTCAAAACACTGCTAAGTGAATCATGTTCTGCAGATTTAGATGGTTGTTTCAGATCATTGCTTGCTAGAAACTGAATAAATGTTAATAAACTGATCCACAATATTAAATGAGACGCAGCTTATTTTGTTTTTCATGTGTAGAGGCAATTTACTTATTAAAATAAGGTTGATTATAATGTTAGAAAGGGTATTATAATATCACACAGAATAATCAATTCGCATTATCTTAAAGTCTACACATATAACAACAATCTGGATCAATTCTAACACTTAACATGATTAAAATACAAACCTTTCTCCGACTGAAAAACAAGATGTGGGTCCGCGGCGCAACCTTATGACGTCATATAAGTAGACCAAAATAAAAGTCCCGTTCACATATTAAAATAGCAGATATATGCATCCATTAATAAGTGGTTAAATAGCTGTAGTAATACGCTTTCGGTTTAAAATATACTTCATAAAATGTTAAAATAATTATTGATACATGTATAATTAATGTGTTATTATTATTATAATTATTGTTATTATTATTGTGTTAACTATTTCAACCAGGAGGCTGAACTTATTCTCTCTACAGAGAAAATGGATAAATGTCTGCTCAAATGCTAAATCACATTTAATTATGTTACCTTTTTATACCTACAGTGCTCCGCTTGCTGTGCTTTTAAAGTGAAAACTGATTTATTTTGTTGATAAGAACAACACAAAATACAGTAATAGCATGAATGCCTTCTATTTTGCTCAGGTTATTATCTTAACTTTTTATTATATAAAATGGTGGCTCTCTAGTTTGTGGTAAAGCATAGCTTAGAAAGTGTGTCAGACCAGCTACAGCCCAAATCAGAAAACGTTTGGCCAATATGGAAAACACAAATATGAAAAAAATAATGATTTCTAAATTTACTTTGACTTGTTTTTCATTACAGACAATACAGAAGCAACGTGTTCCTCATGATTGTGTATTTTGGTTCTCGCAACACATTTTAAAAAAAGAGTTGGAAGAGTAAAGCGTTTGTAATGTTGCCATTCCTTTTCACAACACTTAAAAGACGTTTAGGGACTGAAGACACCAGGGCTGCGTCCGAAACCGCCTACTACTCAGTAGGTACTTAGATCGTTAGAAAACTATGTTTCATACAGTATTAATGTGAAAAGTACGAATGGAATTCGGACGTACTACATCCGCCATTTTTTCATGGTCACGTGACCTACCTGCGTCAGTTGCGTCGCTTTAGTCCCATTCATGAATTCTGTCGCGGGGCATCATGGGATAGTGCAGCATGCATGGGATGTGCACTTAAGAATTTTGTCGGAAGTAGTAAGTCATCCGGGTACTTCTCGCATACTGATTTTCGATTTCTATGAATTCGGACATACTACTCGGCTCGCATACTGATTTTAGTGTACTGCATAGTATGGAAGTATGCGGAATAATTTTAGGAGTATCATAACAAAAAACTGAATATATCAAATAAAAAATTATAAATTTTTAACTTTTATTTAATGTTTACAGGGCGCAGTAGGTAGTGCTGTCCCCTCACAGCAAGAAGGTCGCTGGTTCGATCCTCGGCTCAGTTGGTGTTTCTGTGTGGAGTTTGCATGTTCTCCCAGCGTTCGCGTGGGTTTCCTCCGGGTGCTCCAGTTTCCCCCACAGTCCAAACACATGCGGTACAGGTGAATTGGGTAGGCTAAATTGTTCATAGTGTATGAGTGTGTGTGTGTGTGTGAATGTGTGTGTGGATATTTCCCAGAGATGGGTTGCGGCTGGAAGGGCATCCGCTGCGTGAAAAAAACTTGCTGAATAAGTTGGCGGTTCATTCCGCTGTGATGACCCCGGATAAATAAAGGGACTAAGCGGACAAGAAAATGAATGAATGAATGAATTTAATGTTTACAATGCAAATCCTATTAGATCTATTTATTTGGTGAACAAGGAAAGTTTCTCATAATATCTCTACTAAAAGACAGAAAATATGACTTTACAAACTGTTCTGTAAATAAATCATATAAATATTATAATATTACTATTAATATATCACAATAATATTAGTGAAATTAATTTAAAAACTGAATAAATATAAATTTGCACACATTTACACATGTAAATACATGGACTCAATGATGCACGCGCAGATTCCGTGTGGGCCTACTCATGACCTGCGTCCTGCCTATGAAACTCCACACTAATGATTCCTGATTTGGTTGTCTTAGGCCGTACTCACACTAGGTACAGTTGCCTCGAACCAGGCCAAAGCACGCTTGTCCCCCCTCCCGTCTCCCCCGACGGCCCGCGCTCACACCACAAACGGGCTTCGGCACGCTTACGTCATCGCTGCTGCGCTGTTCAGTGAGAAGCGCTCTCTCACTCAGCAGCACCGTGGAGATTTCTCTAGTTATATCGTGTCAGTCATTTGATATGCCGTCAAATATTTCGCCAAACAGTCCTTAGGGATGCGGGGACACGCAGTCAGATATTTCGCCGAACAGATCCGCCATTTTTGGCGCTCATAAACAATCATAAAGCTCTCGTGCTGCAGGAATGAGGAGGTCTGCTGAAGGTGCAGCTGTGGTGCAGTGAGGAGTTTGCGTCTTTAATAAACTACGGCAGTTTGTGTTCACTGAACAGTCAGAATTATTAATAAATCCATATGAAACAGTCCCTTAAAGTCACGTCTAGCTTTTAAGCCCAAAGCCCAAGTGAACCGCGCTCAGGCACACCTCTTCCAACCGGGCCAGGGCCGGCCAAGTGAAGCGTGCTTGAGCCCGATTCAGCGCACTTACACTTCTCAAACGATTCGGGAAACGGGCCTGGGCACGGTACAGATGGCATAGTGTGAGTACGCCCTAAGAATCCTCTCCTGAAAGATAATCAAGTTTTACGTTCTGAATCGTCTTCCACATTGAAAACAAACCCCCAGTGTGAATGTTCATGTGTCTTGAGAGATTTAAAGTTCTTGCCACAATCCACAGGTGTGAGGCTTCTAACCAGAATAAACCACCACATGAGAATCAAGGTAAAATCTATTTCTGAAGCTCCACAGTGTCCACACTGTTGGCATGTTCAATGCTTCTCTCTTTAGTGTGAACTTTCCTTTTAAGGTGTCTTGTAAGATTTGTTTTAGTAGTGAAACTCTGTCCACACTGCTGGCAAGTGTACGGCTTTGTTCCAGTGTGAGTCCTCATATGTTCTGACAGGTTTTTTTTCCATATGAAACTCTTTCCACAGTTCTGGCAGGTGAACGGCTTTTCTCCGGTGTGAATCCTCATGTGTTCTACAAAGTATTGATTCCCGCTGAAACTCTTTCCACACTGTTGGCAGGTGTACAGATTTTCTCCAGTGTGAAACTTCATATGTTTTGTAAGATTTTGCTTCCAGATGAAACTCTTCTCGCACTGTTGGCAATTGTAAGGCATTTTCCCTGAGTGAAAGTTCATATGCTCTGTAAGGTTTTGTTTCCAAGCGAAACTCTTTCCACACTGTTGACAATTGTAAGGCTTTTCCCTAGTGTGAACCCTCATATGGTGTGTAAGGTTTTGTTTGCAAGTGAAACTCTTTCCACAGTCTTGACAAGTGTACAGATTTTCTCCAGTGTGAAACTGCATATGTTTTTTAAGGCTTTGTTTCCAAGTGAAACTCTTTCCACACTCAAGACAGGTGTTAGATTTGGTCTTCTGGGCTGTTTCTTGGGAAGAAGTTTCCGTCTGTTCTGATTCTTCTCCAGATCTGAAATCAAGACATCCCTCATCCTGATCCCCCTCTTCCTTTTCATTCTGATCTTGACCCTCCTCTTTGAGTGGCATCAGGTGTTCTGTGGGAAAAACAAACCCTATAAGTGTTACAATTGTTATTTAATAAATATATATTTTTACGTTTTTAATTAGTCAACTCTAAGGGTGTCACGATCCTCCAAATCCTTGATTTGATTACATTTTTGATTCTAAAGGCACGATTTGATTTTCGATTATGAATAATTATTTAATGACCAATTAATTATTTTTAGTCTACCGTTTAAACTACCTGACCTGCATGGTCTTTGTTTTACCCATAAACAAATCATACAGTAAATGAATAAAGGCAAGATACACACATAATTACCACCTGTCAATCACTTTTTCTGCGGGACTCGTGAATAGGCAGTGATCTGTGTCGTTATAATGGCGTCGGTAAAAAAGACGCACAACCAACAGGAACCAGCCAACAGTATCTGAGGTGTTCGCTAAAATGACGAAGTACAAGTGAGTGAAAGATTGAAGCAGTCCTCAGACTGCCTGGACCTGCTGTCTCGAGCGCATGGCTGTGAGTGCGTCTGTGTCTGTGTGGTCACGTGATGTGCATTTTCAGAGGTAGAGAGGAAGGAGGGCTGCTCAGAAATGCTACACGCCACTGTGGATGTCAAATTGTCGTTCTAAAATGCCATTTAAAAACAAAGACAGTGTAAACAGGGCCTGAGTGTGTACTTTTCACGAGCGGATTTGCAACGGGGGCGGGCGGAGGATCGTGATGCTGGTGTTGTCTATCGGACGAACCGTACGTAATACGTACATAGCAGAGCTTGCAAAACTGTGTTTTTTTTTGTCGACAACACGAACGTTGTCAACATAACTCACTGGAAATCCAAAATGCTTCCACACCGGCGACTTCATTGAAACAGGAGAGGGTTTAAGCTCTGTCGACGGGTCTCCTGCTTCTGCAGTTTAACAAGCACTTCAACAAGCCTGTTTTTTCCCGCTTGGCAAGCCAAGCTGACGTGACATGGGGGCGTGGCAGCATCGACGATTCTACTTTTTGATTCGATAATTGAAATTGAGCATAAATTTCGATCGATTTCGATTAAAAATTTAAATCGTGACATGCCAAGTCAACTCTTATTATTTCCTATACAAGGCTTTTGTGCTTTTATAGAATAGGAGTTGGTAAACCTTCAAGTGCACGCAGATAAGGATTATTTTGATTGTATGTAGTGGACCGATCTGGCTCAAAATGCCAGGGCTAATTTTTTTGTCCCAGTCCAGCCCTGCATCAACGGCGCTGTGGACACACAGAAACACACCTGCTTATTGACCTTATTCTCGGCCGACGAGTGGGCGCTGCCATTTGAATCTTTTTGGCTTGAGACTTCTGGTCTCATTCACTTCCATTCATTTTTAGACATTAAAAACTGCTCGTTACGCTGCTTGATGTTGCAATTTGATATTTTCTTGTTATATTATTCTACTTGGTCTGTATAGTCATGCAAGCATTTGTTTGTAGAGCAAGTAGTTTGACTGTTTTCTGCCGTTTATTATTCCTAGTCATTTCTCCCATTGGCGACTGAATCGGAAGTTCTAAGACTTATAATACTTATAATAATTCTGATG